CAGACAGGGAGCAGTACAGCCCAAGGCTGGGGGCCCGAGGGCCGGGGATCCAGGTCAGGAAGCTTCTAGGAGGGCAGCCACAGAGCCTGCGTGGCTGGACACACAGGGGCGCACCACGCACAGACCAGGCAGCTGCGGGACGTGGAAGACCCCTGGTGGCTGGTGCCTCGCTAGAGTGAGGGAATGACCTGGAGCTGCCTGGGTGCGCCTGGAGCCTCGGTGACCACAGCATCCCTGGAGGAGCCACGCAGGGAAAACAGGGATGGCAATGCCTTCTTTGGAGACTGGGGCGTGGACGAGTTTTACGCCGGGAAGACATGCAACCCTACACCTGGCCCATGGGAGCGCAGCAAGGGGAAGAAGGAGCAGTCACCCTTGCCCACCCACACTCCGCCCTGTGGGCCCAGCACAGGTGGCCAGCAGGCGGCCTGGGACCTCGATGCCCCTCGGGCAAGCAGCATCGGCGCAGGGAGGTGAAGGGAACCACGGTCTGCCTGTCTCCCCTGCTCCACTTTCTCCAGTCCGCATCCCTCAGCAAGCCCCCCTGTCCCAGCACCCCGGCAAAATGAGGTGGCCCTCAGCTTGGTGCAGGCCTGTGCCGGGTCCTCTGCTGGGGGTCCAGGCTCTGAGGACGGTCTCGGGTGGCTTGGGCTCCCTGACACTGCTAGAGAGCAGGAAGACGGAGTCCTGACCATGCTCCCCACAGCTCCATCTGGGCGGGTGGGAGCTGGAACACCCTGGAGTCTGGAAGCCAGTGTGCTGGTCACGGCTCTGCCAAGCCCGGCGGGCATTCTGTCTCTCACAGCCACAAAGGCCTTGGCAGACCTGGGTGCGGGGAGGAGGGAGGAAGGTACCTGCTGTTGTCTGCAAGCCAGGCTCCCCGGGGCACAGGCTGTGTGCAAGGCAGGAGACCACGCGAGGGCTCTGCCTCCCCAGCGAGGAGGCCTGCGGAGGAAGAGAAGCAGGGTTAGCTCGGCCGGTCCAAGTCCTGCTGCTGGACATCACAGGGTGGCAGCCAAGAGCAAGCACTGGTCAGAGCCCGTGTGGTGAGCAGGGAAGGGGCTTTGTCTCCGCCTCCGAGGGCTGGAGGCACTGGGCGCAGCACACACGTGGGGCCGCCACTGGTGCCGCCTCCCACCCAGGATGGCTTGCAGGGTGAAGGCTGTCTCGCCCCAGGCAGGACATGCATTGTGTGACACTGAAAACTGCCCACAAACAGGCCTCTGTCCTGACCCATGCTGCAACCGGACGAAGCTCAAGAACAGCATGCGCTGGGGGGGAAGCCAGACGCCAACGGCCACGGCGGAGGGTCCACCGATACAGAACGTCCAGAACAGACCAATCCACAGACAGAAAGGGGCTCGTGGGGGCCAGGAGCCAGGGAAAGGGATGGTGGGAGAGTGACTGCTAATGGGGATGACAGAATGTTTTAGATTAGAGTCAAAAGCTGCGTGACCGTGGATACACGAAAAATCAATGAATTATAAACTTTAAAGCAGGTGTATTTTATGTTTTATAAATTACCTCAATTTTTTAAATAAAAAGGCCGACAAAACCGTTATCATTATTACCATGTTCAATCTCTCTCTCTCTCTTTTTGAGACAGAGCCTTGCTCTGTCACGCAGGCCGGAGTGCAGTGGCACAATCTCGGCTCACTGCAACGCCTGCCTCCCAGGTTCAAGTGATTCCCCTGCCTCAGCCTCCCAAGTAGCTAGGACTGCAGGTGCACAGCACCACGCCCGGGTAATTTCCGTATTTTCAGTAGAGACGGGGTTTTACCAAGTTGTCCCAGGCTGGTCTCGAACTGCTGACCTCAAGTGATCCGCCCGCCTCGGCCTCCCAAAGTGTTGCGTGAACACCCACAGGAACCCACAACATCGCTCGTGCACATAAACACAAAAACCCTCAACAAAATACTGGCTAACTGAATCCAGCAACGTATAAAGACGATCATAAGCCAAGAACAAGTAAGATTTACCGCAGGGATGCAAGGCTGATTCAACACCAAAACTCAGTTACTATAATACACCACATCAACAAAATAAAAAAACCAAAACACAGGATCATCTCAACACGTCCAGTTCAACAGAATACAACACGCTTTCATAATGAAAAATACTCAACGAGCTCAGAACGGAAGGGAACGTCTCAGCCTGACAAAGAGCATCTAGGGAAAACCATACTCAGCACTGCCCTCAACGGTGAAAGGCTGGATGCACGCTCGAAGCCACCACGCGTACAACAACGTGTACTCTCACCTAAAACAGACCACGGAGAGCTGCAGGATGCAGTCAGTGCAAGAATGTGAAATAAAAAGAACCAAGATTGGTGAGGAAGCCCGGCGCGGGGGCTCACACCTGTCATCCCAACACTTTGGGAGGCCAAGGCGGGTGGATCACCTGAGGTCAGGAGTTCAAGACCAGCCTGACCAATGTGGTGAAACCCTGTCTCTATTAAAAATACCAAAAACAGATGGGCATTGTGGCATGTGCCTGGTAATCCCAGGTATTCAGGAGGCTGAGGCAGGAGAACTGCCTGAACCAGGGAGACAGAGGTTGTACTAAGCCAAGTCTGTGCCGCTGCACTCCAGCCTGGGCAACAGAGCAAGACTCCATTTAAAAAAAAAAGGACGAGGGTGAGGGCCAGAACACGGCTCACCCCACCTGTAATCCTGGCACCCTGGCAGACCGAGGTCAAGAGATCAAGGCCATTCTGACCAACATGGTGAAATCCCATCTCTACTAAAAACACAAAAATTAGCCGGGCGTGGTGGCATGCGCCTGTATTCCCAGCTACTCGGGAGGCTGAGGCAGGAGAATCACTTGAATCCAGGAGGCAAAGGCTGGAGTGAGCCAAGATCGTGCCACTGCACTCCAGCCTGGCGACAGAGCAAGACTCTGACTCAAAAAAAAAAAAAAAAAAAAGTCTGGTGAGGAAGAAGTAAAACTATCTCTGTGCTGGTCCTGGTGACACGACCTGAAAACTATTCAAACTAAAGTGAGCTCAGCAAGGTTGCAGTAGACAAAATCAATACATGAAAACTGATTTTATTTCTACATAAAAGCAATGAACAATACAAAAAGAAAATTAAAAGAACAATTCCGTTTACAATAGCATCAAGAGAAGTATGAAAGGTGTACAGTCCTGAGTGGACCAAGCACGCTGAAGGAAAGATCTCGGTGAATGAAAAGACATCCCGTGTGCATGGCTGAGAAGACAACATCAAGACGGCGTCACACCGGATGGATTCACAGGCTCAGCGCAATCCCCATCAGGGCCCTAGCCAGCTTCGTCGCAGAAACCCACCAGCTGACTCCAAAAAGCACGTGGAAGCTCAAGATACCCAAAACAGCCCAAACAATCTTGAAACAGAATACCTCCTGATTTCAGAACTCACCACAAAGCCATGGTAATCAAAACAGTGTGCACTTTGGGAGGCCGAGGCGGGTGGATCACGAGGTCAAGAGATCGAGACCATCCTGGTCAACATGGTGAAACCCCGTCTCTACCAAAAATACAAAAAAAATTAGCTGGGCATGGTGGCACGTGCCTGTAATCCCAGCTACTCAGGAGGCTGAGGCAGGAGAATTGCCTAAACCCAGGAGGCAGAAGTTGCGGTGAGCCGAGATCGCGCCATTGCACTCCAGCCTGGGTAACAAGAGTGAGACTCCGTCTCAAAAAAAAAAAAACAAAAAAAAAACAGTGTGGCGCTGCCATAAGGATAGCACAAAGATTAATGAAACACAACTGAGAACCCAGAAGTAAACTCACACATTCAGTCAAGAGTTGCCAAAGCAGTTCCAAGGGGGAATGCACAGTCTTTAACTAATGGTGCCGGGACAGCTGAATAGCCACATGCCACAGAATGGAGCGGGACCCCTACCTCACACCATATGTGAAAATTACCTCAAAATGGATCAAAGGTCTTAGGTAGAGGAGCTAAAACCATACAACTTTTAGGAGAAAATATAGGAATAAATATTTGTAAGCTTTTGATTGAATCTGCAGATGCGGGGGAAAAGAAATTGTGACCTTGAATTTGAACTGTTTCCTACACAAGACACCAAAATGAAAATTGACAAAAAAACAAATGGACAAACAACTTCCCCAAAATTAAAAACTTCTGTGCTTCGAAGGCCGCTATCAAGAAAGCAAAAGGACACCTCAGAACATCAGAGAAAACACCTAAAAAATCATCTATGCGGTCAGGAACTTGTTCTGAGAACACATAAAGAACTTTTACAACTCGATAAGGAAAAGACCGTTCAACCAAGAAATGGGCAAAGGATCTGAACAGACGTTTCTCCCAAGAGGACGCACAAATGGGCAGTGGCACAGGAAGAGACGCTCAGTGCAGCATCAGGGAAAAGCAAGCAAAATCCACACTGGGACCCGACTTCCTCCTCGGAGAACGACGCTCAGACAGACAGAGGACAGGTGCTGACAGGGACACGGACAAATCGGAATTCTCCTGCCCCGCTGGCGGGAATGTAAATGCTGCAGCCTCTCTGGAAGTAGGTCCAGCAACGTCTCCAAAAGGTAAATGATATTTAACCACACGACCCAGGTTAGGGTCCTAATTTCTATCGGCTGACAAACACCAAACAAGGGACTCGCGATCAGACAAAGGAAGGAAGTGCTGACATTACCACGTGGATGGACCTCGAAGGCGCCACGCTCCCAAAAGCAGCCAGACACAAAAGGCCACGTATCGTATGACTCACTTTATTTCTAAAGTCCAGGGCAGGCAAATCGTAGAGACAGAAAGTAGATTCCTGGTCGAAAGGGGTTGGGGGGTAGATGTGAGGTTGGGGCGTGACCACAAAGGGGTGTGGGGTTCCTTTTGGAGTGATGAAAATGTTCTAGAATTGACTGTGATGGTGGCCACACAACTCGATGGATGCATGAACAACCACTGAGCTGCACGCATTTGAATGGCTGAGCTGCACGGTAAATGAATCATACCTCGGTAAAGCTGCTGCCAAAAAGCGTAGATTAAAGTATTTAATGAAGTTTAAACACCTGTTTAGTAAGATTTTCAACACGGATTTCTTCACGGGTCCTCAAGTAAAACCTCAGAGGTGGCACGCTCATTCCCTGCCTAAGAAAAACAAGGCAAGACGCTCAAGGAGACAGTGAGCCACCCAAGCTCACACAGCAAGGGCACCATCAGGCTCAGGCCGGCAGCCCGCAGACCCTTCCAGCCCGGCACTCCTGGGGGCACAAGGATGGCACAGTTGACCCCTGAACAACACGGGGGTTGTGGGTGCCAGCCCGGCACACAGGTAAAAGCCCATGCATCAACTTCCGCCTCCCCAAAACCCCACTGACAGCCTCCTGCTGATCGGAAGCTTTACTGGTAACACACACAGTTAACACACATGTATTTCCTATGTTGTATGATGTACTGTTTTCTTACCAAGAAAAGCAACTACAGAAAAGGTGAAGGCAAATCTAAGGAACAGAAAATATATTTACTATTCAGTGAGTGGAAGTGGATCATCCTAAAGGTCTTCACCCTGGTCATCTTCAGGCTGAGACGCTGAGGAGGAGGAGAAGGGGGAGGGGTTGGCCTTGCTGTCTCGGGTGGAGCAGAGGTGGAAGGAAATCCACGTGTAAGTGACCTGCGCAGTTCAAACCCGTGAGGTTCAAGGGCCAAGGGTACAGCAGTATATATCGGAGCTGTGAAGGGGGCTGGGGCGGCCACTGGCCCTGGGCTGACTGCAGCAACGAGGCTGGCGAGGACCAAGGATAACCTCAAACTCTAAGCGGACAGTGACATGCCCCATCCAGCTTCAGAAAGTCTAGCTCCGTGGTGGCAGAGGGCAACTAGAAGACAGAGGGAAGGAAGAGCCACAGCAGGCCCCGGTGGGAAGGGGCATGGGGATGGGAGCACACAGGCGGGCAGAGTGCCTGGCGGCTGCAGGAGCAGCTCACACCTCCTGCCCTATGGTCAGTCGGGTCTGGCAGAGACGGCCTCATGGCTTTCCAGGAAACGGCAGGGGGCTACCAGCCCACGACCACTCTGCACAGCCACAAGCGGCGTGACGCCACAGGGAGAGCACCCTAAGCAACCGCCGAAGTCACCCTCGGCCCTCTCCGCAACCCTCTGGGTAGGGGTCAAGGGGAGGCTCTCTGGGCAATGGTTCCCGCCTCAGTCAGGGGCTGGCTTTCCATTCCTGCAAGCAGGAGCCTGGCAAGGGGAGGGCAGGCAACGACATCAGATGAGGCCCCGGTCTGGACGGCAAGCTGACAACAGCCCCGCAGGCTGGAAGTCCACACACAGTGAAATCACATCTGGCCCCAGGAGAGGTGGTCTGTGGGGTCTGAGGAGGATCTGGCCCTTATCTGACGTGCCATTTAACAGGGGAGCTGAGGCAGAGCGGGGCAAAGAGGGAAGCAGCTGGGAGCAGCAGAAAGAGCTACCAACAGGAGGCCGTGAGCAGCCTGGGAGTCCCAAGTTCATGTCCACGTGACTCCGAGTTCCTGGAACTTACCGCGGAATACAGACTTCACGGACCTTCTTCCCTCCCGCTGCCCTGCCTGGCGTCCAGGACCACGTTTACTCTACCAGCAGATTCCCGGGGCCACACTTCCCTCACCGAGAACACTCTGGAGGTTTCCCTCTGAGTTCACTCCAGGGAAGCCAAAGGCCTCTGTTTTGTCAAAGTGGAAGCAAGAAAAAGATGGGGAGCAGGCCAAGGGTATTCCAGGTAACGAAAAAGAGAAGGGAGCCCAAGCGACACTCTAGAAACAAGGTCCCGAGGACAGCAGGCCACAGACCAGAGCGGCCACCAAGGTCTTCTGGGAGCAGAGGCAGCCGCCAGCTCCTCAGCATAAAGGCTGAGCCAGAGGCCTGGCTGCGGAGCACAGGACGGCCCTTCCGCGAGCGCAGCCTCCAATTCCTCGGCAGCCCCCAAAGCTGCAGACTGTGCCAGAAACCAGAAGGGGCCACCCTTCAACGCTTAACCCAAAATCACACAGAGGCAAGTTTCATTCGCCAAGATGGCTGCACCCACACCTCCCAGCCCACAAGCTCTCCTGCGGGGGCGACTGGGACAACCTCCTTCCAAGAGCCATCCTTGACCTTCTCCCCACCCACACAAACTACACAGCCAGGCCCTCCTGGACCGCCCAGCACCCACTCCTCCATCTGACCAACGCTCCCAGAGCGCCCACTCTGCTAACCCGAGAAACAAGTTCCACCTGCCTCCACCCACACGGAGCTACCAGTTTTGGACAGAGATAAACAAGTGGACGCCTATGGGACCAAGGGAAGAAAACAGGGTGCAGGGGCTTCTCAAGTGGGAGTCAGGGAAGGCCAGGGGTCCTGAGGAGAGGTAGGACCACCCGCTGGCACCCCCCCCAAGGGGCAGAGTGCTCCAGCAAACGAAGGAGCCCCGGGCCCTGGACTGGGGGCGGCTCGGTGGAGACCACCCCACAGAGCCGGGGGGGTCTCAACAAGAGGAGCACTTTGTCCAAGCGACCACAGAAAGTCATGGAGGACTTTAGGCAGGAGCAACAAACTCTTATGTTTCTACAAGATTAGCGTCTCTGAGAACAGCACACAGCATTCCCGCCTGCCACTGTGGTGCTTACGATTACTCCGAGATAAAGATACCAGAATAAAGCAGCTAATACCGATCACATGCTACTGAGTTACAAACTGCCATTCTTACGGGTTAAAAACAGTGGAATGCTGTCAGCTCCACAAGGCTCAACTTCCATGCACAAGCCACTACGGCAGGACCTCATCGGACCTCCGAGCTCTGAAGGTTGACCACGGGCTTCCCATTTCAGAGATGAGAAGAGGAAGTTCTGAGCCGTCCGGCGACCCGCCCAGGCCCACGCAGAACAAGCCCGGTGGTCGAAGGGGCCGCCATGGCTCCCCACGCTCAGCGCCCTCACGCCTGCTGGTCCCAACCCGTCCACGCCTCTCTCTGACCAGACTCTGCATCCCTGTAGGACAGGCTCTGTCTGCTCCATTCACTCCCAGACCCTCAGGGCCGAGGACAGAGCAAGACCTCCTTAGGAAATCAAATCAAGCTGGCGCGGTGGCTCACGCTGGTAATCCCAGCACTTTGGGAGGCCAAGGTGGGTGGATCACGAGCTCAGGAGTTCAAGACCAGCCTGGCCAACGTGGTGAAACCCCGTCTCTAATAAAAATACAAAAATTAGCCAGGTGTGGTGTCGGGCACCTGTAATCCCAGCTACTCAGGAGGCTGAGGCAGAGACTTGCTTGAACCCAGGAGGCGGAGGTTGCAGTGAGCGGAGATCAAGCCACTGCACTTCAGCCCGGGTGACAAAGCAAGACTCCATCTCAAAAAATAAAAAAATAAGATCAAATTCACTCGACTGGGCACCACTCCAAACTGTAAAACAGGGTTCCCAGGCGCACCCAGACAACGAACCGCTATGTGCACTTGAGGAGGAGCTCAGCCCAAGGCAGGGCAGAACTGATGGCCACACGCAGCTCTGGGGGAGTCTGACTTGCGCCGTCCCGGACACACAGCCACCTGTGAGGTCGTGTGCTGCCCAAACGCCACCTCACTCCCAGGAGAGATGCCAGGAGCACACACTCGCTCGGCCACCACGTCTCCCAAGGCCACTGGGAGATGGAGCTTCTGCCTCTGACCGTGGACTCAGCCTCCGTAAGTATCTCAAGAATCAGCTCTCCATGAAGGAACTGGCTGGTGAGGCCTGGCCTGGCATCGACACACCTCCACCGTCTGTGGCACAAACACGGGGCCTGCTGCTGCCCCTTGAGGAGGTGACCAGGGGCAGAGAATGGCCAGACCTGCTCTCCAGAACGCCCACTCGCGTGCTGCCAAGGCATAAACACGCAACGCGGCCCCAGGGCCAGGCCGCATTTCCCATGCCGGCTTCCCACGAGGTGGCTGTGCCTGGCTGGGTGGGCACCTCCTCCTCCGGGCCCTGCGGCCCAGAGATAAGGACCACTTCCTCAACCTGCCTGCCTGTCGTAACTTCTGGGTCGAGCCCCGTTTGCTGAGGACCTCGCAGCCGCCGTACCTTCGCCCACATCATCTCACTCCGTGTTCACCGGGACCCTGCACGGTGAAGGCAAGTCCACACAGGCTCATCCAGCACTCCAGAATCAACAAAAAGCTCCAAAGGCGAAAGTTTCTTCCTCCTGGTCTGACCTGACGCGAGGCTCTCATCCAGACGGTCCTGGGTGGGTTTGATCCAACATCACGGTCCAAAACCCCACGGATCCTCAAATCGCAAAAATTCCGGACTCCCACATACGGCCGGCCCCGACGATCTGGGGCGCAGGGTCCGGGGCTCGCGCCCCGGACGGGGAGGCGGCTCCAGAAGTAACTTCGCGCCCGGGCGAGGCTGGTCCAACTCTGCTGAGATCGGCCCCGACGCGCTCTAGGCCCCGGCAGACCCCCCCACCCCCTGCGCCCGGTCTGCGCCAGGCGGGTCCGCGTCGGGAGTTCGAATCCCGCCCGGGGTCTGCGCCGGCCCCACCGGGGGGACTCGCGGCGGCGGAGGCGCGGTGGGTCCACCGGGATCCCGACGGGGAGCGCGGGGCGCCTGGCGGCCCCGGCACTCGGCAAAGTTGGCAAACGCGCAGGAAACGGAGGCCCGCGCGCCGCGGGGCCGGGCCGGGAACGGGAGCCGGAGTGGGGCCGCGCGCCCCCCGACCCCCGCCCCCGCCCCGCGCCCTCCCCTCCCCCACCCCGGCCCCCGCGCGCCCCGCGCCGCCGCGCATGCGCACTGCAGCCCGCGATGTGGCAGCCGGGAGGGGGGGCCGGGCCGGGCCGGGGGCGGCCGCCGACGGAGCCCCGCGCCCCTCCGGCCCCGGACGGGCCAGGCGCCCCGGCCGGCCACAGAGCTCCAGAGCGGTGCTGTCCACCCCCGGGGCCCACGGCGAGGCCCGGCCAGGGCGGCGGGGGACGCGGGCGCGCGGGGGCGGGGGGCCGGCTCCCCCGGCCCGCTCACTCACCTCCGCCATGGCCGTGTGTGCGCGGGAGGCGGCGGCCGCTCCGGGATCCCCGGATGCGGGTCCGCGCGCTCATTGGCTACGGCGCCCGGAGGGCGGGGTCGGGGCGGAGCCTGGAGGGGCGGAGCCTGGAGGGGGCGGAGAGCGTCCGGGCGCGTAGTAGGGGCGCGGGCGCGCGGCGGAGCGTGTCCTCCGGGCCGTCTCCGCCGGACGCTGGGCTCGGCCTTGCCGTGGCGGAGAACGAGGCGTTCCACAAGAACGCGAGCTCCCGACGCCACACCTGCGCGGGGTCACGTGGGTCCGTGTGCCCTCGCCGATCCCACGGCTGCTCGCCGTTAGCACCCCGCGTGGCGGACGGGGAAACTGAGGCCCAGGGCGACGGACCACCCAGAGCGTCAGGGACACCGCCAGAGCTGGGGCCCGGGCGGCGTGGTTCTGGAACTTTCTGCACTTTTGCACCCGGGATGAGCAAAGTAGCCCCTCGAGGAACGAGTTGGGGAGCTGGGGAATCGGAGAGCTTCTAGAACCTGCAGTCCGGGCCGGCCGCGGGGCGCACGCCTGTCATCCCAGCACTTGGGGAGGCCGAGGCGGGGGGATCACCTGAGGTCGGGAGTTCCAGACCCGTCTGACCAATATGGTGAAACCCCGTCTCTACCTGCAGTCCGTCGTTGTTCGCTGACGGAACATTTCTGGGACACGTGCACGTTCTGATCCTGCGCCAGGCCCCCGGGGAGGGTCTCAGGGAGTCAGAACTAACGCCTGTCTTCAGGGCGCTTAGATGGAGGATGGGAAGGCAAGGACCCACCACACTTTAAGTTTGAGACGGGGCTGTGAGGAGGCAGGGGCCAGGCGGGAGATGCGGGGCCTGGGCAGAGTGCAGAGAGACTTGGGGACGTCGGCAGCACAGGACTCAGTGACGGAGGGAAGCTGGAGAAAGAGTGAAGCCTGGCCTCCAGATGTATGGGCTGCACAGAGGGGTGGAGGGCCGTTCCACCCGAGACCCAGAGGAGGGACACGGGGAGAGAAAGAATCGAGTTTCCCGGTGATCAGCCAATGAACACTGAGGACTTGACATGCACCACCCTGGATGCCGGACACAAAAGCATCACTCAGTCCTCTGAGAGCTCACCAACCTGAAGAGAGAAGAACCACTCTGGAGGGGTCTATCCTCACTCCGTTTTGGGGGGTTGGTGTCATTCAGATGCAGGGTTCTGGCCCTGGTGTTCAAGAGTCCTCACTGATTTGTGCAATGCTTGGTTCATTCATCTATTACTCATTTATTATTACTCATTTCAGTCCGTCGGTGGACGAAACGTGCACCTTATGCCGTCCTCACCTGGGTGCGGGGTGGCCAGAGGTCCAGTGAAGCAGGAAGATGCATGAACAGGTGTAAGAGTGGGTGCCGTGCTGTCACAGGTGGAGGGCTGGAAGACAAGGGCTTGAGTCCGCCTGGAGCAACCAGAGAAGATTCCTAAGAGAGAGCTTGGCAAGAGTCATCACACAGATGTTAGATGAGGGCTTGGGTGAACAGAAGGGTATCGTGGCCTGGTACGGTGGCTCACACCTGTAATCCTAACACTTTGGGAGGCAGAGCTGGGAGGATCACTTGAGTTCAGGAGTTCAAGACCAGCCTGGGCAACATAGTGAAACCCTGTCTCTACTAAAAGTACAAAAATTAGGGGCCGGGCATGATGGCTGGAGCCCGACACGGTAGCTCATGCCTGTAATCCTAGCATTTTGGGAGGCCAAGGCAGGCAGATCATAAGATCAGATCGAGACCATTGTGGCTAACACGAAACCCCATCTCTACTAAAAATGAAAAGTTAGCTGGATGTGGTGGTGTGTGCCTCTAATCCCAGCTACTCAGGAGGCCGACGCAGGAGAATCTTTCAAACCCGGGAAATGGAGGTTGCCGTGAGCTGAGATGACACCACTGCACTCTAGCCCAGGCGACAGAGCAAGATTCTGTCTCAAAAAAAAAAAAAAAGCCAGGTGTGGTGGTGGGCGCCCATAACCCCAGCTACCTGGGAGACAGAAGGACGCCTGAGGGAGGCTGAGGCAGGAGAATCACTTGAACCCAGAAGGCGGAGGTTACAGTGAGCTGAGATCACACCACTGCACTGCAGCCTGAACAAAAGAGTGAAACTCCGTCTCAAAAAAAACACACAGAAAACCGATGAAGTGAACAAGGCAGTGAGTGTTAGCAGCTGAGTTTGGACATGGGTATGGAGGTTGTTTTTTTTTTTTTCCTTTTTTGAGAGAGAGTGTTGCTCTGTTGCCCAGGCTGGTGTGCAGCCTGGCGTGATCTTGGTTCACTGCAACCTCCGTCTCCTGGGTTCAAGCAATTCTCCTGCCTCAGCCTCCCGAGTAGCTGGGACTACAGGTGTGCGCCACCACGCCTGGATGACTTTTGTATTTTTAGTGGAGACGGGGTTTCACCATGTTGACCAGGATAGTCTCGATCTCTTGGCCTCAGGTGATTCGCCCGCTTCAGCCTCCCAAAGTGCTGGGATTACAGGCGTGAGCCACCACGCCCTGCCAGTATGTTTTCTACCATACTGATTCCTGCAATTATTCTATGAGCATAACATGAAGTAAAACTCAGAAAATAAACAGCAATAGGCCGGGCGCGGTGGCTCACGCCTGTAATCCCAACACCTTGGGGGGCCGAGGCAGGCAGACCACGAGGTCAAGAGATTGAGACCATCCTGGCCAACATGGCGAAACCCCATCTGTACTGAAAAATACAAAAACTAGCCGGGCGTGGTGGTGCGCACCTGGAGTCCCAGCTACTCGGGAGGCTGAGGCGGGAGGATTGCTTGAACTCGGGACCAGGAGGCGGAGGTTGCAGTGAGCCGAGATGGCGCCTCTGCACTCCAGCCTGTTACCTGGTGACAGAACAAGACTCTGTCTCAAAAAGAAAAGAAAGAAAGAGAGAGAGAGAGAAAAGGAAAGAAGAAAGAAAGGAAAGAAAGAAAAAGAAGAAAGAAAGAAAGAAAGGAAGGAAGGAAAGAAAGAGAGAGAGAGAGAAAGAAAGAAAAAGGAAGGAAGGAAGGAGAGAGAGAGAGAGAAAGAAAGAAAAAGGAAGGAAGGAGAAGGAAAGAGAGAGAGAGAGAGAAGGAAAGAGAGAGAAAGAAAATAAAGAGCAGTGGACCCTGAGCAGAGACCTGCAGAGGAGAGGCTGGCGAGGGTGCCCCAGCACTGGCACAGCAGTTTGGCCGGACGCATCGTTGGAGGAGATGCACCGTGTGAGCCTCCACTGTAGGATCCCTGTTCCTTCTCTGCCTGGTTTTCACGGTCGGCGGGCAGCTTTCACATTTGACGGAGGCGTGGCATCCCCAGGACGAGGGTCCAGGTCGCCACGTCGCTAAGCCTCTTGGCGCAGATGGTGAATGTGGTGGAGCTGGGGGTGACAAATCCGTGGCAGCCATGAGGCAGCAGGGGGGCTGCAGCTCAACCAAGCCATGTTTTCCTTGCAAAATTTCCCCAGAAAAAGAGGCCTAACAAGGTCCTGGAGGAGCTGTTAGCAGTTCACGGGGCGGCCTGTAGTGGGTGTGGGGTGCATCATGAAACCCTCATTTCCCCCTCTGCTCAGGGCCAAGTATCCCTCTGAGGGGCTGCCCGCATCAGCGACGGGCTGGTTCAGATCTATAAGGACCCAGGCACCTGTGACCAGCTGGGGCCAACCGTGAGGCTGCAGAGGTCCTGTGGGATTGGAGGAGGCTCTGTCATCCCAGCTCGCTCCTTCCTCCCTCCAGCCCTCCTTCCTTCACTCTCCAACAGGCGTTGACCCCAAGAGTGACCCCCACAATATTCCTGCACATAATCTGTGTCTCAAAGTCTGTGTCCTGGAGACCTATGCCACAGAGCATGAGTCACTTTTTTTTTTTTTTTTTTTTTTTAGATGGAGTCTCGCTCTGTAGCCCAGGCTGGAGTGCCGTGGCACCATCTCAGCTCACCCCTACCTCACCTCCTGGGTCCCTGTTCAGGCAATTCTCCTACCTCAGCCTCCCAAGTAGCTGGGATTACAGGCACGAGCCACCGCGCCCAGCTAATTTTTGTGTTTTTTAGTAGAGACGGGGTTGAGTCACATTTTGAAAGGTTTAATAAAACGGAAGAAGCATCTCAGTCTATCTGTGCTGCTACGATGAAGCACCGCGGACGAGGGTGTTTATAAAGAAACAAATTTATTTCTCACAGTTCTGGAGTCTAGACAGCCTTGATCAAGGTGTCCAGGGAGAGACTGGTCTCTACACCCAAGACGGTGCCTCCAAAGGGAGGAACGCCGAATCCTCACGTGGCAAAAGGGATAGAAGGGCAAAGAGTGCTCCCTTTGCCCTGGTTATAAGGGTGCTAATCCCATTCCTGGGGGCAGAGCCCTCATGACTTAACCTCCTGCCAGAGGTCCCGCCTTTTCATCCGGTTGCATTGCAGATTAAGTTTCAACATGAATTTTGGAGGGACGCCATCATTCACATTACAGCAAAAAGCAAGACAAATTGAAAATCTAAGATAATGAGAGAGAAGATGGCCACAAAAGAAAATGAATAGAAAAAAAAAAAAAAAAAGCAGGGCCGGGTGTGGTGGCTCACACCTGTAATCCCAGCATGTTGGGAGACCGAGGC